ATAGTGCGGTTTCTTCTGTGCCTCACTATTGTATGTCACGTGATCTTTGAGGGAGTTTATGATCTTCATCTGCAACTGTTCCACGCGGTGGGCGTCTTTCAACCCATGCCTCTCTATATATGCATAAAATGTATTTCATTAGCAATTGTAATATGTTTTGCAATCACTGTCTGTAACGACATACCGGTGACGAGAGTGAGAGCGCATAAACAGGCGAACGCAGAGATGTCTAACTCCATGAGCCGAAGATGTTGTGAGAAGTCGATGATTGCGGACAACCAGTCGCCGAAACTCCGTTCGCACTGATGTCTACTCAACACAACTCCGTTACAAAACGTGAACCGATCGGCATTTGATTGCATTCTGGGCCATGAATAAGACTATTAGCATACCATTCACTCTAGTATATCATGATTCTGGACATACCTGTAGGCCATCCTCAGCACAAATAACTCAAGACATGCCGATTGAAAAAGTAATGATTGATCGGATTTGTCGAGATCTGCAAATCCGGGGATTTTTTCGGCGAAAGAGTGGATAACATCGAGAGATGACATTAAAACGCTATAAAACTGTGAAATATATTCAGGGCCACAATTCTTTTCGCTCAAATCACTCGACTCTTTGAACTATAGAAATAAATCGATTGGAAAATGAGTGACAATCAGAATTAATGAGTCTATTATTAGTACACTTACGAGACTGTAGTCCAAGTTAGCCAAATCGGGAGTCGTGTCCACGTGTGCCCTCACCAGAGCTGTTATTGTGCTGACGGGTGGTGATGGGGGCGACTCCTGAGGCGATTTGGGCTTTGATGGCAATCGACCTCTTCTGCCCTTCAGATTATCAGTTCGAACCACTGTTTGCATAAAAGTGCAGTTTTCAGTATCATTTCGTGTGGTTTGTGTGATAAGCACTCTTACCTTCTTTAACCATTCCTACGGACAGACATTTCTGAAAGCGACAGAATTGACACCTGTTTCGCCGCCTCTTATCGACGGGACAGTCCTTATTGCCCAGACAT